ACAAGTTGGGTTTTCAATATGTTATCAACCAAAAGGAAAACATTTCACGCAGAGAAACAGGTGGCCTCGTGATTCCAATATAGCAAAATATACATTTATATCCATTGTATACATTTACATTACTGCCAAAACCTACAAACATTGTATGTTTTGTGGTTGAACTGGTAGTTTTTTATTTCGTCTATCTAGATCTTCATAAATGTAAGGGGACACTCTTTATGTGTAATGTTTAAACTATATTGATGTATAAAGTTACTAAAGAAACCAAAGCACAAAGGTGGTAGCTCTGTAAATAGCATCACTTTGGTCTTTTTGTACTTTTCCCACAGTACAACACTCCATGTCAGCTGTATATACCGTAGTATTGTAATCTACATGTAAGTTATAATGCCATTAAACCTGTGGGGTTACTTATTTATTTGTCTATTTATGGTATTACTATTATTATTGTTTATTTGTTTTATCCCCTTTTTCTATTAATACATTTTAATCATTTTCCTTTTTGTATTTTATTTTGGGTATTTATACATCTTAATCTGTTTTAATGTGTGAAGCACTTATGTGTTACATTTTGCTTGTATCAAAAGTGCTATACAAATAAAGTCTGATTGATTGATTGATTGATTGATAAGATAAAGTTGATAAATCTTACCTCCTGTGAACTCTGTTGGGATAGGGAGGTCCTGGATGACACACTCATATCTTGAGACGCTCCCTGAGAGTTTTCAGGCCAAAATTGAGACCCAAAGAAAAGCTGAGAGTCTGTGTAACTGGAGTAGCCGCTGGTAGACACATTCCTGTGGATTTGTTTTTTTGTCCCCGCAAGGTTTGATGAGTAAAGAAAACATAAACACACATTTGTTCTGTGCAGTAAAACAGATTAAATTAATGTAGAAATCAGATTTTTAAAACAGTGCTCCACAAATGTACGTTAAGTCTTGGTGATGAGTGATTGATTTAAAAAACACACTGACCACAGCCTCATATGGCATTATTCACAGTTAGAGAGAAGTAAAAGGAGCTAAAAGGAGTCATTGTTAAGTAACAAACTTTATCTAACCTTCCAGTCGGGATGCTCAGCATTTCTTTTATGCTCCTTATGTGATTCATTGCGTCCAGTTACCTGTTTGTAAAGACAACAAGTCAGTCGCATTGTAGCTGGCTATTTCTTCTTCAGAGCTTCAACTCAACTGCTGACAGATGTGTTAGCTTAGCTAGCGTTAGTTAGCATTAATGCTAATCTACAAAGGGCTTCGTTAGCAAATGTAAATGAACACTGAGTCAATTTAAAACTTAAAACGCCATTAACTGTTTAGCTTTAACATCTTATTATACCTTTCCCAAGGGTTAGCGGTGGTGTGATGGTTGTCGTAGATTAAAATAGTTTTAAACTGACTCACAGTTGATGTTAGCGTGTGGAAGCTCGCGACTGTTTCAATCTCCCGCCATGTGACCTTCCAGTGCTGCGTTCAGGGTCCGTGTATGTTTTGGTCATTGGATTTTCCTTTCAGAAACGGGTATTAAAAAACAGAAAACGAGTGGTTATTTGATTTTCGTTTTAAAATACAAAAATTAAAATTGAAATACAAGACGTTTTTAAACGTGTATCATTCGTTTTTTCTATTCAATTGAGATTAAAAAAAATGAAACGGTTTGTTATTTTTAATTGTTTATGAATCTGAACAAATACAAATGACGGTTTTTCTTTCTTTATTGTCAGATCAAACAGGAAATTAAATAACGGCGGATCGATTTCGAAATTTAAAAAATGATTCGATTTTCATTTTGTATTTCATATAACAAAAAATAAAATCACTAGAAAAACAGAAACGGAAAAAAGACCCTTTTGTTCATATTCTGAGACCGGATGTTGTCATTTACAGGACGGTGCTGTGTAGAAGAAACAGTAGGCTAGTAGACTGCGTTCAATCCAGCCGTGAGTCCGATCTCCGTGGTCAAATCAGCCGCACTTAAATTTAGAGTGTACAAGTATTCTCAGCATTATGGTAAATGCGGAGAAACAGCGTATTTACTTCCGGTTTTCAAAATAAAGGTATTTAGAGCCGTAATTAATTAAAATATGTTACATTAAAGTGTTTCATGTGCCCCTGATGAAAAAAAAACACTTTATATCAAGTATCTTTACTGCACCAGTGTGGAGAAATGCCAAAATAAAAGTCTCATATTTATGCCTCCAGAGATTGCATATTTTCACCTTATTTGAGGTACTGTAAAAACATATTGCTCAGTGTTTCCTGGCTACTGATGGTATATTTGACTTTTACACATATGAGACTACAAACATACTTAATATCAAGCATTTTTACTGTACCAATTTGGAGAAATTCAACAATAAAAGTCCATATTTGTACCTCCAAGTGGTATTTTCATATATTTGAGCTACTGTAAAAACACTTTGCTCAATAATTCCTGGCTATGGATGATATATTTGACTTCTACACATCTAAGACTACAAGTATACTTAATATCAAGCATTTTTACAGTACCAATTTGGAGAAATTGAAGAATAAAAGTCCCAAAGTTGAAGTTAAAACTAATTATTTTTCCCTTTTACCTACAAATGGACACAGCAGAGCAGCAAAATAAGAAGAATGTGGACTGCATTGCATTTTGTGAGAAAAGTAAACAAATTAGAATTGTGTAGGATTTTGTGTTTAGTGTTTATATTATCAAGATGTTATTAAACATTTGTGTGAAATTTTGTCATGATTACTGCAGCATTATTGAAGTATAATGAAAATGTTTCACCCATAGCCTGGAAATATTGAGCAATATGTTTTTACAGTAGCTCAAAAATATAAGAAAATATGGAATCTGGAAGTATAAATATGGGACCAAATTTGTACAGTAAAAATGCTTGATATTAAGTATGTTTGTAGTCTCATATGTGTAAAAGTCAAATATACCATCAGTAGCCAGGAAACACTGAGCAATATGTTTTTACAGTACCTCAAATATGGTCAAATATGCAATCTCTGGAGGCATAAATATGAGGCTTTTATTTTGGCATTTCTCCACACTGGTGCAGTAAAGATACTTGATATAAAGTGTTTTTTTTCATCAGGGGCACATGAAACACTTTAATGTAACATATTTTAATTATAGCTTACGGCTCTAAATACCTTTATTTTGAAAACCGGAAGTAAATACGCTGTTTCTCCGCATTTACCATAATGCTGAGAATACTTGTACACTCTAAATTTAAGTGCGGCTGATTTGACCACGGAGATCGGACTCACGGCTGGATTGAACGCAGTCTACTAGCCTACTGTTTCTTCTACACAGCACGGTCCTGTTAATGACAACATCCGGTCTCAGAATATGAAAAAACAGGCCTTTTTTCTGTTTCTGTTTTCTAGTGATTTTAATTTTTGTTATATGAAATAGAAAATGAAAATCGAATAATTTTTTTAATTTCGCTCATCCCTTTCTGACCATGAAAAAGAAAAACGCCTTGTATTTCAATTTTAATTTTTGTATTTTAAAACGAAAATCAAATAACCACTCGTTTTCTGTTTTTTAATACCCGTTTCTGAAAGGAAAATCCAATGACCAAAACATACACGGACCGTTCAGGTGCCCGAAAATAGTCCAACAAACACTGTAAGGCTTTTATTGTTTTAGTCATTTAATTGTGTATTTATCAGCTCTGTCGAAACGTATTTATCCTGTTCATATTCACTTCATTTATGAGTTCTTAAACATGTTTTAAATAATGAATCAGTTTGTCATCACTGGATGTATTGTTGACTTTCTGTGGGAATTTTATTTTCCACATTGGGGAAATTTGCTTTTATCACATAGATAAAAACACATAACATTTCATAAATGTACGCTTATTATGTCCCCAAAACCCCAGATTCACTTTGTGAACTGTGTGCGTGTTTGTTTTGGTAATTAATTGTAAATATGTTTGTTTGTTTGTGCAACTTAAATACAATTTCAACTAAGGAAAGCCTTGTATTATTAACTGATTTTTGTGGCTGTGTCTTGTAAATGCTAAATTATTGTTAGAAGAGCATCATTGTTTTACTCACATGATGCACATTCCTAATATAGTTGTGTTTAATTAAACAAAATTGTGTATTCTAACGTAGTAGTACCGGTTGTAAATGGAGACAACAGGACACATACACATTGCACACATGCATAGATGTGACGTCAGTAGGGGCCCAACATCAGATTTTTGCCCTCGGGCCCCCTAACAGGTTAATCCAGCCATGCTAATTGTGGGCCCAGGTATTGTGATTTCTAAAACACAGGTGTAACTAATATTGTTAATTAATGGATGCATTACATTCAGGTTCAGTGACACTACTGCACATTGTGCATGCTGGGAAATGTAATGGAGCCATGCTTTTGGTTATCAATTACACTTAAATGTTTATTGTGAGAAATTATGAATAATTTGTATTATTTATTATCTAATTGGCTACCTATACAGTAGGCCTACTGTATGTTTTACTGTCATGATTGGAAAATGGATCTGAATATATGTATTAGTCAGCACTTCATCAGTTAGCCAAGCCAGATTAAAAAAAATGACAATTTCAGGAACAATTAGCTTTCATTTTGGTATCCGATTAAATTAAATTAAGTATTGTAATTGTTAATAATTGTTTCCTTAATGGGAGAAACGTTTATGCCATTATAATTCACCCTTAGGTTTTATTGTCATGTTTTTATTTCTTTAATAATTTATAATTGATTATTTATAATTTATAATGTATTATTATTATTACTACTACAATTATTATTGAGTGGTGGTGGTAGTAGTAGCAGAACATATATGTCTGGCCTTAATTTTGTATGTATGTAACGTTTTCTACGCAGACAAACCAGGTGTGTGAATAAAGCACAAAAAAATAAAAAATAAAATAGAAAATAAAAATCAGGGTTTTATTTTGAAAAATATGAACGAAGCACAAAAACAGTTCAGGTTTTAATTTGAAAATCGCACCCGGAAGCGTCCACGCTAAATGAAAGCAGGTAGCTGTGAGCTGCGCACTGTGGGATTATCTGTGGTTGAACTGCAGCCAGGGGTGTGTTGATGACAAAGCTGCCACAAATATAAGTGACTGTCAGGTGAACAGCTCTGCGGCCGACGGGACCTGACACCACACCTCAGGAGTCGGGTCAGGCCAAAGCCTAGTGATCGGCTGGTGAGTTAACTTTGTTTGTTTCCAGCAATGTGCAGCTGTTCCGCCTGTGATTGTAAACATACCCGGTGATATAAAACGGATTAAGAGCGGATGACATCGTTGTGTTGAACTCGGACTGCTAGCACGATCGCGACACAACTTCATCCCAGTGACAGGTGCTAGCTAGCTCAAACACCTCGGTTGTGTCCCTGTGGAAGTCATCTGACGTTAGCACACTTAATGCCTGTGAGACAGTAGCTGAACGCTTTACATACTTATTGCACATTAAAGCATTTAGGTGTAAAAGTTAAGTTTTAACCTAAAGACAGAGAGACAAGTGTATTTGACCCCCCCCTCCACCTCATGAATATTTAAACTCTTGTGGTTGTGGGTGACTCATTTGTTTGGTCTTTTAACCTATCCGCAACCAAAACCTGATTTTAACATATGTATTAGTCAAATCAAAGGAGTTACTTTATAAGAGACACATTTAGACATTCACCTCCTTATGTTGTAGACTTTGTTCATAAATAGAGTAAATTAGGTAAAAGATTCACAAGTGAGGGCCTTGCAAGACAAAACTTATTAAATGGGTTAGCTATGGTTTTAATGTGTTTCTTATACCAGTGCACAATCTGCAAGATGGACGCCCATGTTGAGAAGTTAAATGTGTCTTTTTACTGAAATCATGATGATGTAATATTTTTTTGGGTCTGTACCAAACAAACATGTTTCCTTAAACCTGGAGAACAGGATGTGTGGTTATTTTGTAGGCTATCTCTTCAGAGCTACAATATTTCTTTATAATGCTGTTTGTCACACATTTTACCTTTTTTATTAAACAATTGCAGCTTCTGAGATTTGGATATTGCATTTGACCATATTGTGATTATGTGCAGCCCTACTCACAAAGATTGTGATTTGAATCACTGAAGTGTGTGATTAAAGAATAAGTTAACAAGAGTACAAATGTATCACATTTCAGCTTCACACCCAGCCCTTCTTATTAAAGCCTGATCAATAAACAGCAGTTTCCACAAGATAGAAAATGACCTGAGCCTTATTTGACACATTTATCTAACTAGTCATAGTATTTATTTTGATCGTTCTTCTTTGCTGTAGGACTAAATGTGTAAAGGTATTTGTCCTATAGCGTGCCTCGTCAGAGTAACTGATGTGTATCTAATTCTTGTCTGTTTGCTCTTTTGAGGGTTCGAATATGGCTCTGTCATTTCTTTTGGTCTTGGCTGCAACTGTGATTCTTATCAGACCCGAGACGCCTGTAACTAAGGTAGAAAACGGATGGATGTGAAAGTTGATGCCAAAGGGCCGACGTGTGCTTGGTTCGGATTACACCGATGTATTAATCTGTGAATACTGTTCTGTCTGTAGGCCCTACATCAGAACTCACTGGAGTGCTGTGGAGAAAAACAGAGAGTGAACAATTCATGTTCAAACGACACTCACTGTGAACCAGGTAATGTGGATATACAGGATGTTACAAAGAGTTTTGACCTTTTAACGTCAAATTATGCTCTGGCAGTAATCTGTGTATTTCATATAGTTACAATATAGTCAAAATACATGTCCAGATTTTTATTTATTTAATTTCATTCTTATGCACACAAGATAATCATTTCACTTTTGATGATATCTAGTGTGAGAACAGTCTAATATTTTATTTCCAAAGGATAAAGAGCTCTATAAAGCCTCCGGACTATTCAACAGTTAATAAGAGTTTCATTGCTGTACTTAAATAAAACTATGACTGTGTTGTTGGAATTTTAGAGCGATCAAGGACACAGTGAAAGGATGTCTTACGGTTATCCTTGACAATGTCCAAAACAGGAAAACATGCGGTGGCCCTGAGAGCTCACTGCACTGTAACACATGCAAATAGACAAAACACAAGCAAATCAAGAACGCCGCATTTAGAAAAAACTCTGCAAACATAAAAATACACAAACAGTTACAGACACGCTGCAAGTAAAAAATGGTAAAATAAATGGTTGGGACACGCTCGCTATCCTACTGAAAAAACATATAATGAGTTAACTTCAATAAGTTCATGAGTCACAAACTGTAATTTAAAAAAATATATATATTTTCAGATGGAAAATTTAAAAAACTTGATTAGTTTGGCAAAATGTTTCTATGTCTTCATTATTATATAAAGCAATATAATTATTTCCTGTTCACTGCTCTCTTGTGACAATTAAATCGGAGGGTGGAATTAATAATTACTACAAGAACATTAAAGTGCAATGTGAAATATATTCTTTTGAATTCTTCAGGATGCTTCTTGCGTTTCCTTGAGAACAGCAACACTGTTTGCATATTCTGTGACTCAGCAGCTGTGGATTTGGAGAACATAACAGTCTGCACCTACAGTAAGGACCTTCTACTGACTGATACATACAAATGTTACATTGCATAATGTTTGTGTTTTTTTAATTTGCTCTTTGTGTGTGCTCACTAGACTATACAATGGAGAGGAAAAATCACACAACTGTAACTACTGTCATTCCTAAAATTGGTAAGACATCCCATCCACAGTCACTATGGAAAAATTTACTAATTGTTTTCTTCTTGTTTAGAAGGAGTTTAGAATATTAGTGTGGGAAAACCTGTCAATTCAGTTTCAAGGAAAAGTCTTTTTCAAGTGAATCAGTCAACCAGCTTTACGGCGTACTTAAGCAGCCGGTTTCCCATCACATTCCCTTTTGTGTTTTTGAGCAGGAGGGCCAGGTGTGGCAGCCTCTCTGCTTCTGGGAACACTGTTGATCAGCTTGTTCCTGATCCTCTCCGTTGCCTCCTTTTTCTACCTCAAACGCTCCAACCGACTCCCGAGGATCTTCTACCGTCGCAACAAAGGTACACACTGCACAGCTCTGACTGTAATTATACAAGCAGGGTTTTGTTAAACCTGAATTATGAAGCTCCGCGGCTCCAGTCGACCCACCACACTCATTAAATCCTCCTTAATAAAGCCTGGAAGTGCTTGAAGAACACAGAAAACACAATATTTTTGCTACGCTTAAGTGATACTATTTGATTTTTTGGTCGGTTAAACTCAAATGTAACAATATTGTGTGTGTTTTTACAGCCTTCATATTCCAACCAAGTGAGACAGTAAGTAAATTGTATTGTTTGTTTAAGAGTTAATCTACAGAACACTGGGAGAGACTGTGTTTATTGTAGCCTCAGCAATGTTCTCCTGTAGAATAAAGGGATATTATAATCTCTGTTTCCTTTTCCCTTCTAGGCTGTCATGATCCCATCCTCGTCAGGTAACGACTACACTGTCCTACTCTGTAAATTATCTGACCTTGCTCAACAGGTTGTAGCATATGTGAAGCTACTGAGTAATGCAAAAGTATTTGGAAATGCTGTTGAGGAGTGTTCTCATATTTGAGCAATGCCAGGCTCGTAGTCACACAAAAAACAGGTGATCTTGTGCTGTTCTTAAAAGCACAAAACTAAATGCTTAGCTTCAATTAGCTTCAATATGCTATGAACAATCCCAGTGCATGTCTCCTCTTGTTTTTCCCACAAGTGGTTATATGTTCGGTTTTGTTTTCTGTTTCTTTTGAAGTGAGGAAGCCAAGATATGTCAGAAGGGAGCGGCCCTCCGCAACTTCAACAGGGAATAGTGCCACCGTACCCACCACAACCACCACTCCAGTCTATAATGTGTAGGAGGAGGGATGGGAGTGCTGGTGCAGGTAGGAGAGAACGCTCAGGAAAGATTTTCTTATCGTGTGAAGGTTCAGCAGTGTGAAGAAAGATCAACTCGTACGAAAGTAAAGGAACATGTAACTGTTGCTGCTTTTGCTGCATTCTTGTCACTAGGGCTGTAACTTTTCAAGAGTGTGATGTTGAAAAAAAGTTATCAGTATCCAGTATCTAACCTGTCAATCCTCTCGACACAGTCTCTGACTTTCTTTGTAAATTTCAGGTCAGTCTGTTGGTTCCTCCCACTCGTGTACTCATGCACTTCAGTATCACTCCTTTTGTTTTTAAGTCTAAACACTGTTATTTGTTTTCCTCTGCTCTTTGAGAGTGTTTGTTCTGGTAACCTGCAAAACTAAAGTATATAATATACCTGTCCATAAAGGAATGGAGTTTGACATTTAGGGAAATATGCTCAATCGCTCATGTTACATCTTGTATCTGTTTTAATCTGTATAAACACACACACTATTTTGGCGAATTATCTTGGTTTGGTTTTTGTACGGATTAAACAAACAAGATACAACGCCATGATGAGTGAGCTTTAGAGGTGCTGGTGGATGACCTTTGTTACCTTTGGACAGAGCCCTGTTTCCAGCCTTCATGCTAAGCTAAGCTAACCGGCTGCTGGCTGTAGCAATATTTTTAACAGATTTGAGTATCGATTGTCTCATCTAAAACACTGCAAGAAAGCTCATTGGTGTATTTCCCAAATTGTCAAACTGTTCCTTTTTTAAAGCAGAGATGAATGGAGCCAGTGTTTTGGGACAAAGTGACAGTCCAGTGACATTTTATGGAACATGTCCAAACCTCCATGTTTTTAAGTTTTCTAATCAGGAAGTTATTTTTACATGTGTGATCTTTATTTGTATTTTGTAAATGTGCACTGAGTTTAACTGATTACAGTCAGACCAACAGAATAAATGATGTGTCTAATAGCCAGTAGGCAGTTTTAGGGGGGATGCCACCCAATTTGTCAGCAAAATGACTAAAATACATCCCCCTTGTTAACCAGCCATACCCCGTACTAACAGGTGGACTGCGGTCTGGGTCCGGACCCAGGTGCTGTCCTATTCTGACCAGGACCTATAATCGATTTAAACGCCACAGTTTTTATAGCCTTTAACAGCAAGTTTAGCTGACCAACTGCATTCGTTATAAATCACTTTACGTTAATCTACTCAGCCAATCAAATCTGTGCTTTCACATGCCGTGCAGAGAAAAGTTTGAGAAAGTTTCCTCAAACAAACATCAGGAACATCATAATGCATGAACTCATTGATGGTTTATCTGACTGAGGTCCCAACAATGGCTCTGAAATATCAGTAGCCTAACAAATGACAAATCCATGGTGCTGTCCATGGTGTTGTAGCTTACGGATTTGTAATAGCACCTTTTTCTCCCAGTCCCGCCCTTCTGTTAGTTTCTTATAGCTCATACAGCAGGTTACCTAAAAGAACCGGGCCACCTTCCCTGTTAAAAATGAACAAATCACCTACTCCCAATCGTAGTTCCTAGAGCTCGTCTGATGGATTGGGACATTTCAGGGAGAGTTACTAGAGGTGCTGAAATGGATGATTGTTGGACTGCGTTTTGTGTTTTTATTGCATTCGTATTTATTTTTATGAGCTTAACCAAGGTGAATGTATGACACATGTACAACACATCAAGCATCGCAGCTGCATGCATCATGAATTGCATTCCACACACATATATATTCCATAATATGTCAGGATTTTGTGCGGCTTCTACCGTGGCCAGGTCTCTCTTGTAAAAGAGATTTTTGATCTCAATTGGACTTCCTGGTAAAATGAAGGTTAAATAAATAAATAAATAAATAACAGACCCACTCAGTCATGAAAAACTGAAACTCATTTTCAACAACAAATTCATGCTTTTTTACAAAGAGTTCTGTGATTCTATAAAACCTGCTAAAATACCAATTTTGTTCTATGAAATAAATTTAGATTTCAACATTTTATTTTCTTAAAACATGAAATCACTGAATCCATGTGCACTTTATTAGTCTGAGGTCATCCGCTAATTTTTAAAAGAAACACTTGGAACTTGTTGCTATCAAGTGTGATTGAGATCTTTTTTTTGTTGAATAGATGGCAACACTATTGTTGCATTGTGGACTTTACTTGATTCTGTCAACATTTGCCAGATGTTGTCTGAAGAAAATGGCTTATACTGTGTGCCATTACTGTGATTACTGTGCCATTATGAGCTTTAAATGCAGCCAGGAAACGTTAAGTCATGGCGTGATGAATAATTGGGTATTTGAATTATATCCAGTGGCCTTTACTGTACTCTATTAGAAAACAAGGCTAGATATCCAAGTTTTATTTGCTACGTGGTATTTTCTTTCTTATCGTTTTATATGTTGACAACATTAAGGCTGTAAAAAGTAATTTCTGTCTTCAGTATATGTGAAGCCATATGAAGTGAACCAGATAGAAAGGCAGCAATCATTCCATGAATATTCCCCTTTTTGCTTCATGTGTTTGCTGTTGTACAGACAACCATAAGCTGAATACATGTACATATTGTTTTATACAAATGATGTATTGTTTTTGTAATAATGTATATATTCTAGTTTCAATGCCATGAAGAATGTTCTGAAGATGTCTGTAATGTTTGGAGAAATAAAGCACCTTTCCATAACCATTGTTTCCCTCCGTGCAGTTATAAAGACATTTAACTTCATATTGTTCAAAGACCAACTGGACTAATTTTGATACTGTATGTTCCTTCTGTGATTCCTGCTGCTGATAATAAACAATGCCTCACTGTGTGCCGACAAGGATTTCTTCTTACATGACAGACAAGTTATTCACTTATATCACTTTATAATTTCCATGGTTATTTGATTAATTGATTGGGTCCTACCAGTCTTCATACTTTCATTTTAAGCTCAGGTAGACTCATTTGTGTACATTTTGATGGTGTTATCCAGAATCATTTAGAATATTACAAACCTATGTATATTTAAAACCAAACTTTAAAAATTGTTGACAGGATGTAAGTTTTCAAATTTTCAATATTTAAAATAAGGTGCATTTTGAAACTATAAATATTTACCCTACATCATGTTTTTAATTCAAAAGACTTGAGATGGAAAATCAGCTATTTTATATATAAAATGAGTTTTAATAGTTGTAAATGTCATCTGTTACAATAAAAAATATAAGTATGCATAACTAAACAGAAACGATTTGACATTAAATAGATGCACTACTTTATGTATATGATAGCCAAATGTGTCCCTGTCCTTAAATTTCGACCATGTTAATAACGGAATTGGTTATTGATCTCACCTCCAATAAATGTCAGTGGCCTTGTATTTTAAGGTACTGAAATGTCACACCTCTAATAGCAGAGGGACGGACATTTTCACTTGCAGCTACATGTGACTGGACATATTACTCTATTTATAACAGCTGACTGCCAGGCCCCAGGCTGACATATGCAAGGACAGACGGACATCAGAGCTGAAATGTCCCTGCAGGGAGAAAGTACACTGACACCTTCAAACTGGACGCTTCGTCCTTCTGCCTCAGGTAAGTTCTTATATCTACTACAGAAACACATCAACAAGACTGTGCTGTAGCTATGTGCTTCATGTCGGTTGTGTTAACAGTGTTAATGGACAAGACCTTTAATGACTTTGACGTTAAGAGAGAGTTGAAGGACTTTAATAACACCTGCATCCATTAAGATGAAAGAGTGATCCTAATAACTGAATAATAATAATAATTTTACCCTGTGGCTAAAACAACGCTACAAAAAATGTTCTGATGAAATACCAAATATAACATACACTTTAATGAATTATTTGGCAGTTGGCTCGATTTTAAGCAATATGATATTTTAGTGTTAATATCATGTTACATTAATGTATTTTTTTTGCAACTTAACTCCCGCACTGAGTTTGTTTGTTAAGCTGATACAGTATGTTGTTCCCTGACATTGGACAGCTCAGGTCATATGACTAAGAGCAGGGCCACAGAGTATTTTGGGGTCTGTTATGGAGCGTGTGACCACGGTGCTCTGGTGTTGCTTTGCTGCTCTCTGACGTCTTCACCTCTCCAGCTTTGAGCTAACACAGGAGCTTGTTGCTTTCCGCACAACAGTTTGCTAATGACAGCTGATTACAAGCAATGTTAAGCTTCACACAAATGCTTGTTCTATATTTAACTCAAATGTGTTGCTATAACTTTAACCATAACCCCGTGAGGATTCCAGTGATGTACTGCTACACACATTTTTCTTCATGCAAAATACCTAAATCTGCAACCATGTAACACTACTCTTTATGTTTTCTCTTCTTTTTCAGACTAAAGAGCATGTGAGGTATCAAAATGGATGATTTAGATCACAGCATGCACATTGCAGACTATGACTGGACGAGCTTCTATGAGGACAGTGAGGAGTGTGGTCTGCTGCAGCCGTCACTCGCCTGCCCTGATAACACGAGTCTCAGTGATTCAGAGGATTCAGGAAACTCAAGTTCAGTCTTCAGCACAGGCCAACGGGAGCAGCAGCAGAGTCCTGCTGCAAACAGCGATGCAGCAGGATGCTGTATGGAAGAAGTGCTGATTAATCAGAGTGAACAAGACGATCTTACAACAAAAGCTGAAGAAGACGGTAAAACACAGGAGAACGCTGACATATGCCTCGATTATCCTGAAGGAAATACTATCAGCACAGAAGAGTTGAACCTGAGGACAGCAGAACACATTGGAGAGGAGACGAATGACGACATCACAACCGCACTGCAAACTGAGCCACTAAAGGTCCAGTCTTCAGATGGAGAACCAACAGAGCTGAAAAGAGAAGATGGAGACGTGCAAACAGAGAGTGACACTTCATCTATACATGAACCTGACCCACTTTCTTGCCAAAGAAGAACAGAACTTAATGTGAATGACAGAGCTGTGAGCGAGGATGCGAGCAGTCCAGGAGTAGAAAAAGAGCGCTGGTTCGTGACAGTGAACGACAGTCCTGCACGAGGGCAGCGGGTGCGTGCTACCTCAGTGAAAAAAAAACGAAGACAAAAAAAAACTCGTAAGAACAATCACATGTGCAGGCAGGAGAAATCGCTTGAAAACAGCTTAGAGTTAGAGATAGCCAGAAATAATAATGAATCTGAGGGAGGGAGGGACACAAAGTATGTCACACAATCAGGAGGGCATCCAAGTGCTAAAGAAAACCCTGAGAGCACTTCAGATTCATCACAGATGCCTTCAAGGTCTGGGGAAGAAGACAATTTGTCAGAAAAACTAGTAACATCTCATATCATTGAGCCAATGTTAGACAGAAACAAACATGACCCAAGCAGCTCAGCGTCCACACCGCATGACACATTAACACCCAAAGACCCGTCACGGCTGGACAGCGTGGAGTCTGACGAGCTTGGAGACGGTGTTGAGTTCCTCTCCGCTCACAGTTATGATTCTGAAAGCTATCTGTCAGCTACTGAATCACTGGAGGAAACTCAGTGTCCTCTCATGGAAAACCAACAACAGCAGAGCTCCTTTTCTCTGACAGAAAGCAGCTATCTATTCAGTCTGACTGAGAATACAGATGCCAGCAACACACAGGACAGGGAAATGCACTCTGGGGATTGCACCCTCTCTCGCAATGTAGCAGCTACTAACTCTGAAGGTTATGAATGCACCGATGTTGAGCCTTCCCTGTCATGTCCATCTGTTACCCAAAGCGCTCACAAAACGCCAGATGACAACTCCACATGTGATAACGACACAAGCAGCACGCCACTCCACACGCCCTCGGATACACCTGGACTCCAAATACATGAAATCAATCTTTCAGCATCTGGTTGCTCTTCAGGAGATCAGCTTAGTCTTCCCCCTGTTCCAGATGTAACCCTAACACCTTCCTCTGCGGCCGACAGCCCTGAAACATATGCCGAAGCCGCGGGCCACACTCGACCTGTGTATGCCATTTCTGCTTTTTGGGATGAAATGGAGAAATTGACCATAAATGACATTTTGCAGCTCAGGATGGGCAGAAGCACACCTCCCACGAACACAAAAGAAACAGTGGCAGCAAATGTAGATGATTTTTCAGCAAATCCCAGCTCTTTGGTTGACACTGTGGACTATAATTTGTCTGACGGTGGTCTAATGGATACGTCCGACACTGCTGACTCAGACTATTTCACGCAGCCCGATGAATCCAAGCCAGATCGCTCAAGCTGCGAGTTTTCCACCTCCGATTTTGAAGAAGAGTACTGGCAGTTTCTTGGCGCCAGTAGGAACCCCAGTCCTGATCCTCAAAGCAAAAACCAACAAAAGGCAAATGACTCTTCTTTCTTTGCACATGAGGAAGAGGAGTCCACAAGCTCTGAAGGAAAGGAGACACCAGTGCCCTCAGAAGACTTCCCAGGGGAATCATCTGAGGATCAGGACTCAGATGCTTTCCTTTCAAGTGAACTTGCATGGCCGAGGCGAATAAAAAAAACCAAAAGTGTGCGCAATGTACAAGCTCTCAACACAGAGGATTTATCTTTGCAGTTGTTGCTTGGTGATGATGAAAGCAGTCTATTTCTAAGCAGCTGTCCATCTCTGGAGAAAGACTTGGTTTTAAAAGCGAGCGACAGCCTGGAAACTGCATCTCTCCTATCCAACACACACTTACTGGGTGAACACGCCCAAATATCCTTCCCTGAAGTGTTTGAATACTTTTTCACAGAGGACAAAGCCAAGACCGACTCCCGGTGTGTTACTCTCTACGATCCAGAGGACATCTCAGTGGCTCCTGTGTTCGACTACACTCTCTGTACATTCAGCGATAAAACATTGTTCCCTTCCCTCTGTGATTCCCAGTGCAGCGACGAGAAACCCATCCCCATTTTCTCTTGTTCTCACCCTACCGTCAGAGAACTCACATTCCCAAATCCGGACTATGTTTTCCTAAGTGCAGACTGTGAGGAGCAGGGTGACATCTCTCCAATCAGAGTTGTGTCTCACTCCTTCATTCAGGGCAGCGATTGCGGGATGTCTCAAGGATTTCGCAGCTGGAGAAGTTTGCTCTCATTTAGGAAAATCCGCTTTCACAACAAAGGTAGCATCTGGTGCAGGAGTTCTGGTGCCTGGGTGTTTCCAGTTGACACCGAGGAGATCACCATCAAGACAGAAGATCCACCAATAACTGTGGTCACTGAGAGGAGAGTATCTTCAGCTCCTTCTCAGCTGTTTGAAACCATACAGACAACAAGTAAGTCCGAGCTTTCTTACCCACTGGACTGAATGTGTAAAATACATCGAAATAAAAATAAGAATTGAACAAAATCTATGTTTCTGTGCACGTTTATGTCTCCTACAGGACGAGAGGGCATTTTCTCCACACTGAAGCAGTCAGACATGTGTTTGGTCTGCATTGCTTTTGCCTCCTGGGTATTAAGATCCTCTGATCCAGAGGCTGCTGATGCCTGGAAAGCAGGTATGAAACCCATTGCACTGATAGTCTGCTGTTACAGTCATTAATTACTAAATTACTTTTAGTATACAATTTGATTTGAAAAGTTTTCAGGATGTTTAACTTCTAAACATGAAGAGTACACTGTATAACTTGACAGCCAGTTCTACAAACTAACCTTTATTGAAATCCTGTTCAGCTCTGCTAGCAAACGTGAGCGCGCTATCGGCTATCCAGTACCTGCGGCAGTATGTGAAGAAGAAAAATCCCTCTCAAGATGATCCCTGATGTGTACACACAAGAGACGTCATTTCCAAACACTTCCACTTGGGTCCATCCATGAATATAGATCTACTGTATATATGTACATCTATTACAGATATCTACTGTTTCAGCTTATGCATTCGTTTCCAAGTTACAATAGAGCCTGTAAAAAGTAGAAGTAAACCTATGACTGAAATTATTTTCTGCCTTGAGCTAGTTGGTTGATTTATTCTTCTGTATGTTTCTCATTTCATGTAAAGAGACACAAACCAACAATGAATTGATCCTAATAATCAATTTAATAATCGATCCATAAACACATCAGTGAGCCACTCTGTTATAATCAATGAGGCCACTGCAGAGTCAGTCCAGCTCACTGGCTCACCAAATTAAGGGCTGAAATAGCTCCCAACGAATCCACTATTTCAACAACATGTTGTTTGTTTTGGACTTTTTATGGAGTTTGTTGACAGTGAGATAAATATTGTATATTGTCAGCATTATTATTTCAGTTGCATTTTAAACTTTTCATAACTTTGGTTTTTGAGTTCTGGGTAAACCGATGTTGATATAAGGACCATTCTGTGAGTACAGACATACTTTTTAACATGTGCTGTTTGTGAATGTCCTGTTGTGCCTAAAATATGGCTTTCTATGTCGTACAGCTGCAGTTAAGTTACGTTGTAGAGGATAGAGGCAGCCTAGTGGAGTTTTTGAATAGATGCATTGTACGTGGAGTTTCTTTGTAGAGGATTAAGAAAATGGGGTGAAAACCTGAAAGCTGTGTTGTAGATAACGGTCTGGTTAGTATGTATGTTGTAAGAAAAGATTCAGTAGGTGACCGCTTGAGCTTTATGATAGGGATGCATTATCTACATCAGTGGTTCCCAAACATTTCTGGCCCTGTGCCCCTTTGAAACAATGAATCATGTCTACTTGTGACCTCTCATCATAGGCTGCATGAGTTGTGAGCAGTTTTGAGGGATTTTATATTTTTAGACCATTTAATTTGAATAATTTCTACAGGCCTGAAGAAGACCTAAACAATATTAAGGTACACACTAAGCACAAAAGAGAGACAAGTCTGAAAAACAATGTAACTTGTGAGAGATTGTAAGAGTTTTTTTTTTCTCTTACTCCGGTACTAAACTCACAACCTCAAACGTCAAACGCCAGACCATCTATCCAGCGTGATTCAAAGACAGACTTTTGATTTCAGAATAGATAATTAATAGCTTTATCATTATACATAATAATATTTACATATCTGTTAGGTGTTGCTGTCTCTGATGCTTTTATGTATTACGCCACAATGATGTGTGTCAGTGTTTAAAAGATCTACAAGCTAATGATTGTTGTCAGAACACTTCATATCTCTTGTCAAACAAGGCTGGGTACATATGAGTTTACATATATGACAGATTATGTGCAAGAAGTGATTTAATGCAATAAAACCGTGATTATCCCACACTCCTTTCTGTAAACTAATTTAAAACTGTTTAAGAAACGTGCTGATTTAACTCTATGGTCAGTGTGGAGGCTGTAGCTTTTGGTTCTGTTGATCCGACAGGTGTTCTGTTATTTTGTACACCCTACTTATATCAACATGGGCAGTCTGAGGAAGTACAAGTACAAAGAGAATAAGGTGTCATTGCAGAAATATTTATTGAAATAAATATGCAATGGATACACTTTGATTTTATGTCACATAAATATTGAATTTAGAGGCAGTTCTTTTAAAAATTCCATTAAAATGCTCAAGATTTAGTTTCTTTCCAATCAAGTTATTCTCACCAAAAAAATGTAAATACATTATTCTAACAAGACTTACTGTCTGTAGTGACAGATCATGGTCCAATTAGTAATTATCTCACCTTATAATACCATATACTGTTTTAGCTTATGATTTACTGCTATCGTGCTGAATCAAGGGTCAAGTGTTCACATCTACTGCTATATCAATAGTACTCATTCATATAGAATATTGTGAACATGTAATATTTACAATCTCAAAAATGAGCGAATAAAAGCTTCGGTTATACTGTGAAAAGATATCTTGATATATAAAACTTTAGGATTTAGACAAATATTTAGCAGATTTAAGAGTAAAACAAACCTCTACTATGCTTTCAAAGTCTAAACACCACAATGCAACTTGCTACTCTAGTTTGGTGAGAAATGAAGACTGAGTCATGCTAGGTCGTTACAATCATTCAAACACTGATTTAAATGTCATTCTGTACAAGGAAGTCATTTAAAAACAATAGGGATATTTAAACTTAACACCAAAGTCAGTCTGTTTTCATATCCTTTATAAGAGCTGTATTTTAGCAAATTCATATCATGAAACAGTTTTACAGTTTGTTAGAGAAAATCTGTCACTTTAAATCTCACATGAATGTGTGAGATTCTTCATTATTTTTATAATAAAACTAGTATAAAGTCTTAAGTGATATGAAAATCTCAGACGGACTTTGACAGTCCCATTAAGTGCTGAACAAGGAATGCACATAAAGATCCACAAAGATTTTTCTAAAATATATTAAAACAAAAAACTGACACACAAATATTCTCTTACAGTTTCAAAAGTACACAGTATTCTATTGGGTATGAATGTAGGGTTTCATGCACCACCTGGGACTCAAGATGGCTTGTCACCTTCTTTCTTCAGACGGCTTTAGAAAACACAAACAAAGGTAGGTAAACTCTTTGTGCACTTGGCAGTGAAAAAACACTTTTTACGTGAGTTTAACTTATTGTCTGTATTGTCCGAGTACTGGTCTGCTGGTGAAAAAAGCTTTGAAGCAAGGAACTTGAATTGAGGATTTTTTGTTATTATCCAAATTAGTTGAATTTCTCAAGTAAGGTTTCAGCCCTTCACTAGATAAGAAGTTCAAAAACCTCACCTGTAATAATCTTCCTGACTGGGTAAAGGGCCTCCATGCAGGTGGTGCCCATGCAGCCACTGCTGCTCCATAGCCATCCTCTGCAGCTCTGCAGACTGAGCATGCATGGCCTGGAGCTGGTGAGCAGCAGACATCTGAGGAATCGGACCCTGCAGCTCTCGTGGATATGCCGCTCCTACGGGGAGCAGAAATATGAAAAGAGAATTGAGGAGCTGGACTAAGAAAAAACTGTGAGTATGTTAAATGTTGAGATTACGAACCAAAAAGTGGGTGGCGCAGCATCTCGTGATCATGAGGAATATCGCTGAGTAAAGGGTTGGGGATCGGGCCACCAGGGAAGGGGAACCGGGCCAAACGAGGTCCTGTTGCCAGGGGGTCCACTAATGGATGAGGGCTTGAACCTGGAAGATGAAATAAATCAGTGCAGTAAGTGACTGTTAACTCTATACCACTGGATTTATTACTGCTGACTAATTAATTCTAAAAAATAGTCAATAATTCCAACCTCACCTTGACCAAGCGGATCCTGTTGGTGCAGGTGGAGGTGCGAGTGAATGTGAGAGTGCTGGTGATGATGCGGCGTCACATTGAGCATCTGCAGCCTGACCGCAGGATCAGTCGCCACAGATGCCATCCTCTCTGCGTGAAGACGCTCTGCGGTGAGTCGCTCCGCGTAACTCAGCTCTGGGCGCATCTGAGGTCCAGCCAGCGCCATCCTCTCCCGCTCCAGGTGGTTCAGCCCGGGGTGGAAGGGCGCAAAGTGGTGGGGAGGCCCGGGTATGTGGGGAAGAGCGATCGCCCCGTGTCTGGCAAAGTGCTCCATGGGGTTGGCCGAAGGGTGTAAAGTTTCCATGTCCGGGGGCTTGACCTCAAAGCCAGGCTTCATCCTCTCGCGGAGCTCCCTCTCTCGGAGGTTCCTCAGCTCGCGCTCTCTGAGGCTGGGTTCGGCGCTGTACAGGCCAGGCATGTGGTAGGCCAGCAAGGGGTCGCCAGGGCCCAATGACACATAGAAAGGATGGTTGCGGTTGGTGGGCGACATGACATGGGGCCGGGCATATTCACTCAGGGTGCGCAGGGCAGGTGTATCCGGGCCGATGTATGGTGGCACAGCGGCTACAGTGGTGGGCGGCTGCTCAAAGGAGGGGCGTCCGTGGCCCTGAACCACCATCTGAGCCTCACTCATACGACTGTCGTGGGAGGAGCTGGAGGCTCTCTGTAAGTAAAGACAGTGTGTGAGATAGGTTGTGTATGTTTTGTGACAGAAAAGATGTTTTAAAGAAGAGTAAAGGAAATGTTGCACTCACAGCATTTCTGTCTGCCTCCCTTTCTCTCTCTCTCTCTCTGTCTTTCTCCCTTTCGCGTTCTTGCCGAGCACTGAACTCAGCCTCTCTCCGGGACTTTTCCACAGCCTCCTCCCTTTTCTTGGCCAGCTTTGAGGACGAAAGCGGAGTGAAGAACAGGTCTGTTCTAGCACAGGAGTTGTAACCACGATCAAAGTGTTTGATAAACCTGAAAGAAATAACAGATGTCCATTTATGAGCATGACTACTAAACTTAATTTACACAAAATAGCCTCATGATTCATTTTAAGGTTGAGGAGCTTTTGGCACTATATGCATGAAACATAATGAGATGTACATGATGTACTGAATACTGCCCAAGAGGATGTAATTAAGAGTTTACTAGACCCTGACTTTTATTTACATTTTTATAAACGTGAAGCCACTTAAACCTGATTATTATATTTGTAGTTTTGGGCACAATTCCTGTTAGTTATAATGAGATTTCTGTCACCAACGTTATTGCTAAGATCTGGGAACAACTTGACCACTTAGCAGCCACACCAGCTATCAGACAGGTTTTAAACCTGTCTACAGTTTACCTCTATTATCCACTTATTTGGAAATGAAAACAAAAGTAGGCATTCAAGTTATAATGCCAACCTCAGTGTTTCCTCTTGAATTTTTTTTAGCAGTGGGGGCAGTCCTGTCCGAACATGGATCAGTTAGATTTTTGGCTTCACCTTCAAATAAGTGGTTTAGATAACTAGGTTAAAGCTGCTACATCATTTTTTTTTTTTTTAAATAAGCTGCTATTGTTTGTTTGTGTTGCATTCATAAATTAATAACAAAATAACAAATAGTTCGACAGCACGGGAAATCAAACAGTGTGGTTAAAGCTGCTTTCAACAACCCAACAACACCAATTCTTACAAGATGATAGCAATAGAAACATTTTTCCAAGAAATAATATCTTGAGACGTACCGAGCAGACTGGCTGGCATGGCTTGCCATGTTGACAATGGTGGGCTCTGGCGAGGGGCTCCGAGGCGGAGACGGTGGGCTTTCAGCCTCTTCCATCTCATCGAGTGGCTCCTCTTTAATCTGAATTTGTGATCCTCCTGCTGTAGTGCCCGCCGAGGGTCTCAGCGGAAGAGGTGGGAATGATGGCTGGAGGCTCGGGACGGGGCCAATAGCAGAAGATGTTACGGAGGTGAGAGGGTGTGAGGCTGCAGCAGGCGGGTGAGAAGAAGTCATGCTTTTTCCAGGGTGGGTCTGCACCTGAGAGATCACAGGAAGTTGGGTAGGAAGTGACTGCATTGGCAAAGGCTGTGGCATGAGCTGAAGAGGGGGAGGAGGGGCACCTGGAGGATGCTGGTTGGGTAGAGAATTGAGAGGCTTTAGAGCAGGGGGAGGGGGTAGATTGGAGGGCATTTGAGGGAAAGGTGTAGCAGGCTGGTGTGGCATTTGTTTGTGTGAAGGTGGAATGGGAGTGGTGGGAGGGGGCTTGATTTGGGTGCCAGACAGAGAAGGCTGGGAGAGCTGAGACTCCCTAAAGAAGGGCGGGGGTCGCTGGGGAGCCTGAGGTGACGGGCCATGAGGCTGCAGAGACTGTGCAGAGTTGAGAGCAGGTGGGACCTGAAATGCTGGAGAAAGAGTAGGGTCCTGACCCAACACTGATGAGAGAGGACCAGGAAGAGAGTGAGAGGCGAGCAGCGGACGGCTGCTCAGGCCTGCTGCGGCAGCTGGCTGAGGGGGGTCTGGAGAAGGAGGAGGGGGGCTCTGAGCAGGATCAGCAGAGGGGGTGCTGTGTGTTGGCTGAGGAGTGATGGGAGTGCTCTGAGAGGGAAGGGCTTGTGGGACTGGTGTGTCAGCCAACACAGCAGCGGGAGCAACAGGCTCTGATGGGACGCCGTTGGGCTGGGCAGATGAGTCAGAGTCGCTCTCGTTGCCCTGTTGTGGGCTGGGAATGCTGGGAGAAGAGCTGCGGTTGTCCTGATCAATATCTTTGGTGTCACTGCTGCCATCGTCCTGAGCACTGCGGCTTTCTGAAGAGCTCTCCTCCTCTACCTCGGCCTCTCCCTCTGACCGGGATCCCTGTGCATCCTGGAGGAACGAACAAACAAACAATTTGTGATGTACCTAACTTCTCCCTTCCAACATATTATTATATAACTTTCTGTGCTCAGGTAACGTTGTAGGATGAGCTTCCAATAATGAATTATCTTATCTCTCTGCTGCATAAAATGTCATAAATGCTACCTTTGGATAAGTTTTTATGC